ACCCTATACATGTCTAATTAAAAGTCATCTTATCTCTAACGAGGCTCTTCATCTACGAGAGTTAAAGAGAATGACACACACACACACACACGAGGCGTTCAGAGTACCATCTACCCGTGGAATACAGTACGAAGCTATATATAACGTGGACAATAAAAGCCATACAGAAGTTAAAAAGTCACCACGAAAATAAGTACAACAACAACAGCTACAAACAAGTGCGGTGAACATGAAAGAAACAACAAAATTGGCAATGAAAAAAATAAAAAAAACTGTCATGAGTGAGAGCTGTGGGTTCGAACGGCCAACAGGACAGACGGACGGACGGACGGACACACACCGTACATCCAGGTCCAATTTCACATTCTTTTTCAACCAGAGGGTCAGATGTGATCTGCAAACTAGAATGGACACCTGAATAGCCAACCATTAATCACCCGTGTCACTGGTTATTTCGACAGGTATGAAACAAAAGGAGAATTTCATGGTCGATAGGGGGAGGAGGGGGGTTGAGGTAGGGAGAGAGGGGGTAAAGCACAGCCTCCAGCGCGTGACAAAAACATCAATGCTACGGGCCCACTACTGCGTCCTCCCCCCTCCCCCCCACTCCTATATTGTCCAGTGATTGAGCTGACTTTAACTGTGATGGTAAGTGACCCCGGGTTGTTACTGTTGATTTTTAATTGAAACTATGATGAACTAGGTACAGTACACGTTAATGACCTATCCTCTGAAGGGCAATGTAACTTACAGTTGACCTATAACCAACCTAACCTAACTCAACCCTAACCGAATACACTGTAGATAATAAAAGGAGTATAATTGAACCATTTACCAAGAGGTGGGTAGACGCCTTAAAAGGAATGATTTGTTCGTTTTGTGTTGACAGAAAGGCGAGAGGAGGAGGAGAAAGAGGTGGGGAATAATGGTAAATCATAATGAAGTTCAACTCTCAAGGGTTTCACACGGTGTAGGGCTAGAGCTATGAGGAAAGGTGAGTGTGTGGTGACAAAGTATTCATACATGCATGGGGAGGTGTGTGTGTGTGTGTGTGTGTGTGTGTCCTCACCAATAATTAGAGTAAAAAAAATATATATCGAGTTTCATACGTGTCACAATTAGCCAGTCACTTTAATCGTCAATACAATAACACACTTCTAACACGGCAACAAAATTTCTTAACCCACGACAGAAATACAATGGCACAGTTCGTTCATATTTAGATCAACAGAAACACGTCACCACTTGCAGCCAGCACAGTTAATCAAAGTAGGTCGACGATTTGCAAATTCTACGTATTGCTAGATTGCTCGAGCCAAAGCGACTAATTAGCAGGTAATCATTGGGTTAGCGGGTTATGGGGATCGAGTGGTTAATGAGGAATGGGATGGTTGAAGGGGTGATGGGATGGTTGAAGGGGTGATGGGATGGTTGAAGGGGTGATGGGATGGTTGAAATGGGATGGTGATGGGATAGTTGATGGGCATGGGGTGATTGAAGGGTGATGGCGATGGTTGATGGGATGGCTGGGATGGTTTGATGGGAGGGGTGATGGGATGGTTGAAGGGGTGATGGGATGGTTGAAGGGTGATGGGATGGTTGGTGATGGGGTTGATGGAGGCGAATTGAAGGGTGATGGGATGGTTTGATGGGATGGTTGGTGATGGGATGGTTGAAGGGGTGATGGGATGGTTGAAGTGATGGGATGGTTGATGGAAAGGGGTGATGGGATGGTTGAAGGGGTGATGGGATGGTTGAAGGAGTGATGGGATGGTTGAAGGGGTGATGGGATGGTTGAAGGAGTGATGGGATGGTTGAAGGAGTGATGGGATGGTTGAAGGGGTGATGGGATAGTTGATGGAGGCATGGGGTGATTGAAGGGGTGATGGGATGGCTGATGGGGTGATGGATGGTTCATGGGTAATTCGTAAGCAAATAATAATAAATAAGAACAACAACAATAATAATAATGATAATAATAATAATAAAAATACTACTAATAATAAAAAATAATAATAATTACTAAGGCGTTCATATCTTAAAGTACACAGCTTTTTGTGGACTCGTCAAAAATATAAATTCTTAACACTGGAAAACCCTATAATAAACAGATAAAAGTTTAAGCAATTTTAACTATTCTTCCTAATGTGCATCAAAAAGGAATAATAAAATCTTAAAAACTCGTCATAGTTCTCGTAAGACATATCTCGTTTCACCTCCAAGCCATCAGACGTTTTCTCCATACCAACAATTTTACACAATTTTTCATATGCATAATTCTACTTTCATTAAATATTTCCTTACTTTGTTAGTTTTTTTTTTACCTGCAGACAAAATTATATTATAAAATATATATTCAACGCTGGACTATTATGTCAGATACAAATATTGCTTTAAACTTTCGATTTCCTAAACATATTTCTTTCTCCGCTACGTGACAGCCTCAAACCCACAGCCGATAACTCAAACACTACGCCTGTATTAAGACCCAAAATCACGTGATAAACCGAGTAGCTCTTAGCAGATATTCCTCGTTACACATGTGCTATATTTGTCTATCTCCCTCTCACCGGGTTTGCTCATAACACTTACTATCAGTCACATATTGGATATAACCAGGTGGAGGTTACGAGGCACAACGCGACAGGTCATACTCGTAAAGTAGGTTTTCCTCGGCTAGAAGCTTTTCATAAGTGGTTGAGGACGACTTGAGGATGGAGGTGTGTGTATATATATATATATATATATATATATATATATATATATATATATATATATATATATATATATATATATATATATATATATATAGAGTATCATCTTATAATTTAACGTCATAGTAGTCTCGCCAGGTTAGATAGTTATGAACGTCAGGAAGAAAATAAACTGGGAGGAAAATTTCTTTATACCGAGGAAAACGGAGGGCATCACAAACACAAAACATGTATTCTTCACGACGACGAAATAAAAAAATAAATGTTGATTCCAAAAAAAAAAAACAGGAAAGTTAAAACATATTCCTTAAAAAATTGCAACGGGGTATTTTTCCCCACAACAACAGTACAGTATAATATGTCAAGTAGTATGACTAACAGTTCAGGGGAAATTACCTTAAACCGGTCTACTGTACTGTTATATACGGAACGGTAATACGGGCTCTAAGTACATTCACAGACCAGAAAATGACAAAACATAAGATATGGATCATTACCACCCGCTCGCCCGCCTCCTGAAACTTTTTACCAATGAAATTCGACGCAGGCAACCCTACAAATACCTCGGTGTTACGGTAAGCGCCCAGGATTCCTTTACCATGAAACTTTAGTTCTATAAGATAAATACTGAATATATGACCTAACTTGGTGAAAGAGAATGCGCCATGTACAGTACGAGCCATTAAGTGAGACAAGGCATGCTTTTGACGGTGTGTTACGACTCGTGTATAAAGTAGTAGCTTTAGTTACGACTTAAAATAACTCAAAATTGACATGTGAAAAGAACACCAAGTCTAGATTCGTAACAGACTAAGACTACAAGCACTGTAGGGACAAGTTACCACGCGTCTCCCTCTCACTCTTAGTATTAAACAACCAATCTATTCAAGTCTGACGTGTGTGTGTGTGTGTGAGAAACGATATTGAATTCCCCCTTTGCCTGTTTTAACCTTTATCAATCAGTCTTTGCTCCACCCTGGCTACCTACAAGCGTCTTTTACAGGCTGTTATCACCTGCTGTCCAGAGCCTTAATTCAATCCATCCACCAAACAGTGCCCATGCATCACACGTATTTATGCATCACACGTATTTATACATCAATCATAGTGTTTGTGCTACAGCCAATGTATCTATGCCACAACACCACCATCTATACAAGCATCCTAGCGGTTATACTTCCAAGACTGAATTATTTTATACCAGTTAAGACCACGGCCATGTCTTCCCTTATACCTGATCATGTATCAATTTCTCTGAACTAGTACCGTACCTCATAACCTACGGCTGCCACTCACACCGAGAACCAACCAGCGCTTGTGAATTCTGGCCCCAAATTAATTCAAGGCGAGGGCATCCTGACTCACTTAATCCCATTTAGTACGACGTTAAGACTTGAATATGGCGATTCAATCTTTTGCACATTGACTTAATCCCCCGAGTACGAGGGCTTATTATCCTACAGTAAGATAACACTCTTCCTACTCAAAGCACAACAGTTAATCATGTCTTACGTAATATACCAAAATTCGTTATGAATAAAAAAAAAAAGCTTCATTCGGCGATATTTTAATAAAGGAAGCGTAAAATAGTTACTAATGCTCCGTAAGGCAAATACCCACACCCCGTTCTGGGAAATAATAACTAATCGAGTATGATTCTTTCTTTGATAACAACTATGAAAATATTACAAATACACTACTGAGTTGATGTATCTTCCCGCACGTTTTAATATTACTTTATATTTTAAAACTAATGCCTTTCACGATTTACAAATAAAAGCATACACAATATCACACGGTACAGCATATGAATACACCAACACTGAGTTCTGTATGTTTTATCAGGAACGAACCACTGAGCGTTGCCAAACTTTCTCGGTTCCAGCTAAATCAAACACAGTCCAGCGATGGATTGTTTTAATTCGCAGGAGCCAACACACCAGAGACAGTCTCTTACTAACACACGAGTGGTGTACGAAGCTCACTTTGTGCTTCCTTGCAACACATAGACGAATGTTCCGACAAATAAGAGTGTTAACTATGTAAAGCTGTCCTACATACGCCTTATATTATTTACGTTAAATTATACTTAAAATCGGGAGCCAAACTGAACCTTGGTTATTCACTACACCACAAGGATTTATTATATTTGTAAAACAACCATCAACATATTTTACAATTCATCAGTAATCAGAACACGGTGAATAATAATTTGTTAACAACCGTGAAACACCTTTGGGTTGTTTTAGTTACGGGTTGTTACTCATTGAGATCTACAGTACTTACATCTGCGAGGGTCACGGGCAGGTGGTGAGGAGAATCAAGTCGCCAATCAACAGGTGTAAGGTGTGGTCAAGGCCACCCCCTGACACCTGTGCCACACCTATTGAGGGTTGCCTGATGATCTACCAAGTAAGGCCAGGAAGAGGACCTATAAAAATTTGTAATGCTTTAAAAATGTCCGTGAACTTCCAGTAATGTTAAGACTGACTTCACTTTAAAACATTAATAAACAGTACTTGGTGTGAAGAATAAGCATCCATGGTTAACCAGTACTGACAGCGCAACATATCACGGGTCAGTAATGGATAAGGAAAGGTTAGGAGCGAGCACCAGCAAAACAGAAAACTTTCGCGGCGGCGTGACTAGACGGGAGGAGAGGACAGGAACCATGTCCTTACTCCACGGGGGCTGCCAGGGTACTGAAGTGAGCGGCGGTCATCACTCCAGCTACCGCCCCTAACCCCTCCTCCCCCACCAAGACTTGGGCCACGCCAATCACCACTTCCCACTCAACCTCGTTTTCCCACTGCCGGTTACAAGGCGTGTTGCCATCATCAAAAAAACATAAATAATTATCTCATTTATTCTCTCTGTAGGTAATGTTCAATGGTTATTAAGCAAATGACAGTCATCCATTCTATCCTTGTCATTATACCTTCAAAAAGTTTCTCAATTAATTTTTCATTATTTCCGTTTGTGTATTTATATCATAATTATGTTGTCAATAATGGTCTTCATGAATTCGTGTGAGAAATTGAGAATGATGTCAACGATTTTTAAAAATGTGATTATTTAAGGAACTGGACGACAAGAAAGTTGGATTTTTTACTTACTTAATTTACCTGATTGAGTCACGAGCGTTCCGTTCTGTTTGACCACATAAGACGACTCGGCTGATCACTGGTGGGAGCCTGGGAGGGACCCTGGGAGTGTAACAGAAAACGGATTATGTCAATTGGCAGTGTAAATGATAAAAGGAACTACAGTGTAGCCCGAAAAATAATGTTATGCATATGGAAAATCCGAATTATAAAACTTTGTAGCTTAAATCTGTAAAACTTTATGTATTAGTTCAAATTTTCACTTTATTCCAATTTCATGATAAATACAACCTCGTCCCACCTGGAATAAAAAACAAAACAAAAACATTACAACCTTGTGCCACCTACAATAAAAAATTACAACTATTACTCTGGAAAATTACCTAAGACGCAATATTCTAAACGTACGAATCAAACTAGGGGGTCGACTCGCCAGGCTGTGGTTAGTACAAATAGTATACCATCATAGTCTCTCCCTCTACGGAACCTTGACACTTGGCAATAGAGTTTCAGAACGTGATCTTCGCTACATGACAAAACATTTTCCCGGTCAGCGTAATAGGTTTACTTATACGCTCAGGGGCTCACTGCTAAAAGACGCAATAATGACCTAATCAATCTGCTGCGTGCGAGAGTTAGTTACTTTATAAACAGTCTATATATAACCCGGCTTTATAACGAAAATAAATTGAGAGCAAAGGCCACACTGAATACCCACAAACATTTCTAGTACCGCACGAAGATTAGAAACTCCAGGCACCTTACTTCAACTGATGATTCAACAGCGGGACTGACCTAACCTAACCTCTTGAGCACAGTGAATTAGCCCATCGAGTAAGATTACTCCTTACACAAGATGACTAAATCCCTTCAGAGAGTTCAATGCCTTAACCCTCTCAAGACGCTGATGACCTGTTCCTCTTGTCGACACTTGTACTAGTGGGGATAAGTCATCGCATTACACTGGTTTATGTGAAAATTTTATTGAAAGAGAGAGAGAGAGTGAGGATAGAGAGAGGAGTAGAGGGGGGAGAAAAGAGGGGGAGAAAAGAGATAGGGGAGAAAAGAAATAGGGAAGAAAAGAGAAAGATTGGGTGGTCATAAATCATTAAGATGGGTAGGGACCAGAGGCATCTTCCTCGGCAAACATTCTCACAAGACCCATCTATTTTGAGCACCAGGTATAAATGGGTTCCAAATTGGATGCGACTATTTATTTCAAGGTTCTCGTCTAGGATAGGGTTCCAAGTTGGGGTAGGGTGGGGGGGGGGGGTTGGGGGGTAAGGGGGTGCTATTTCGAGGACCCACTGTGGGATTGGATAAATAATCTAAAGTAACCCAATCTTGAACCAAATACGATGTGGGATCCTCGAAACTGAATACGTCTCTCAATCTGACGCAGCGCTGGATCAATAGCAGAGCCTTATATAATAGCCTCCAACGTTTATCTATTTCCGCAAAACTAGAAATGAAAGAACCCGTCCCTTTATGGCCTATCTAGGTCCCCCCCTCTATCTTAATTTTACGTGTCCGCTAGATGGCTTCTCACATCCTCAGCGGGGTTGGAAATTTTCGAAGATGTTAATGTTTGTTCATCAAAATACTAAAATGGTAAAGAACTACGGTAAGTTACGGTAAATCTCACGGTGGAAGTTGTGTATAAGAGATACCTGAAGATAGTGATTACTGTGATGGTGGCTCTCTCTCTCTCTCTCTCCTGTTCGTCCGTCTGCCCCTCAACTCACCTCCTCTTCCTCTCGTAACTCACCTCCTCTTCCTCTCGTCAGTGTACAGTTTCCAGGAGTGAGCGAGTACAAGGTATATATCAGTGCCAATGATCGTGAGTATATTTGTATATCCTCTAAGTCACACAGGGTAGGAGGATATGTCCACAGGGCGGCCTGCTCCCCTCCTGTCTGCCCACCAATATTGGCTCCTGATCGACTACGGTGGTCAGTCATACTAGGGCTGATCAGCGTGAACGGCTAGTGAGTCAAATGATGAAATGATAAATAACAAAAATAAATTCATAAATACCTAACAAAATAAATAAATAAATAAAACAGCATCGTCCTTTAGTTACTCTTTGCCGTTGTTGATAGTTTCTCAACATAGAAAACGTATGAAGGGTAACTGCACTAATATAACATTACCAGCACTCCCACATTTCAGCCTCACCAGTGTAACAGAGAAGGCTATAAATGTATTGGGTAATGACAATCCGTAAGTAGATTACCTCTTGAACTAAGTTACACAAGCTACCTAAGAATAAAACAGCTCTTAATATACAATTAACTGACTCCTGTTAAAATGAACGAACAAAAAATGTAACGTAAAGTACCTTCTTATAATTGGACAGCTTTCTAGAGAGAGAGAGAGCACGTGGTTCCGAGGTCCTCCCTCCATTTTTAATCACATTAAACAATACAATACCGTCTCTGGCTCACACAACATCCATCAGGAATATCCGACCACCAGAAAATGGCCGTAAAGCGGTAATTATGACAATGACTGAAGACCAACTGCATGTCAAGGTTCTAAGCTCTTGTTCCGCTAAAATGATCTTAACGTTAATAAAATTTATGTTATTAGTTATGATTTATCAACTGAAAAATCTATTTACTTCAATTAATAAGTGCAATAACATATTTATTAAACCTTAAAAGGTTAATTACTTGATCACACAAATTTATTAACATTCTTTGCATTCTATTACTAATTACTTTCTTCTGAAATTATAAATATTTCGTCAATACGGCAACAGACAGTTTGTAAAGAAAGAATATGATCTTGTCTAGTTATGGACGTGAACTAAAACTATAAAACACATTTTACTCATTATTTTAACTTGATTAGTGTATCAGTTTACATTTTAATCAACAGTGTGAAAATTATCACAATCACTGACTTGTATGGGTTATACAGAGCAACGTGGATACATTACAATGGTAATCAGACAATTCACTGCTGTCAGGCAGTTGATTTCGGTGTTCAGTTTTCACATGCCTTAAACGAGGAGCAGACGGACACCACCAAAACCACGTGGGTAGTGAAAAAATGAAGCATGCAAAGCTTAAAAACCCGACACCCATGCACCATATAACCTCTATCCTAACAAACTTTATAAAAATATAATCTACATCCACCTAAAGTTTAGGTGGATGTAGATTATATCTATAGTTTAGGTCCTGAACTATAGATTAGATTAGTTTTTTCTTATGCGGCAACTGTACACGTAACGCCAGCGACAGACTACGGGGAAGCTGGTGAGTGAGGGGGGAATCAGTCGTTGCTTGGCTATCTTGACGATGTTACCTTCTGGAATGCTGCTCCGTGTTGCCCTGAGGACCTCACCTGCTGTCCTCCTCCCACAGACCTCTGCTTCTACATTCATTAAGGTATCAAGTAATGGTTTTCTCATGCTTAAGCTCTTGTCACATTAAACCACAGTGGCCAATTGTAATATTTTGGAGGGTGAAGTGGTCAGTTTTTGTAGGACCTGCCAGACTTGAGCTGATCATATTCCATCTGGTTTTTCACAGCATTAATCTATACTGTACAAAGGCTAGTGGAGGAAACTGCCAACTATCCAGCCTTTCCAGTGTAACTATGTGTGACTTTGCTATCGATTTATTTTGGCTTGTTGGCATTCATTATTCCTTTCAGTCTAGCATTATTCTTCCAAACGAAATTGTGACTGCAGTCTTCAGCCACTTGTCAACAACTACTGTGTGGCCGTATTCTTAAAACAAGGGGAAGATCTGAGCAGCCTTACGTCTTCCACAACAAACTGTAACTCATACTTCAAGGTAACACAAAGTAATGAGAGCCAAAAAGTAGGCTTTATATTACTTGAAGACTGACAAGTACTGGAATGGCAACGAGGCGCGGCTACCTTCAGCAGGATCAACCCATGACGTATTATAATACTAATCCAGTCACATTAAGGCCTACAAAATAAGTTCTAATGAAAGTACATTATCTACGGCAGAAGGAAATTAAAAACTATATCCCATTCGCCAGCTTTAAGTAGAGTCAAGTTACGTGACGTGTGTTGTTCAGCATACGAAATAAAATTACAAAGATGCATCCTGGTGGGGACGTGGAAGAGGGAGGAAGATCCTGGGAAACACTAGAGGGAGGGAAGATTTGGGAACGACCTGGTTTAATATATTTTTCAAGTTGTCTAGTTCTGTATTACGGAGTAGTTACTAGAGTATTACTGTAACACTAGGTCATTGTGTGTGTTTGTGTGTAACAACACCCTCAAGGGATTAGCCTTGTCATCTTCTGAATGCTTTCTAGGGATTCGATATCAATTCTATAGTACGGTGACCAAAACTGAACCGCATAATTCAAGTGAGGTCTGTCTCAGATACAGGACATCTGCTATAGTATTAGGATAACCTCGTTAGTCTTGTAACTAACACACCGTTGTATGAACCTAAGTAAATTGCCAGCCTTGTTTCGAGCAAATACACACTTATCTTGGTTTAAGGTTCCTACTTATCATTACCCCTAAATCTGTCTCACAGTCAGATTCCTCTATCAGGGGTTATTAACCTTTTCCACCCGATTTCCCCCCTTTCCATCTTTCGCTATGGACAGTTCCTCCTCCCAATTCGAATAAAAGAAACAGAAAATTACTAGTTTTTGTTCACGATATATTTATATAACTTATAACGGGGTGGACTCATTGATGAACAGAAAAATAATTATTCTTAAGTAATGATAAGCAATGCTAGAAACAGGGCTAACAAAGTACTTGGTTTCATATAAAGGCGTGTTAGTTACAAGACTAGGGAGGTCATCCTAAAACTATATCTTGCGCTTGTGAGACCTCACTTGAATTACGCATTTCAGTTCTGGTCACCGTACTACAGAATGGATATAGAATCCCTAGAAAGCATACAGAGGAGGATGACAAGACTAATCCCGGGCATTAGGAACCTTCACTACAGAGACAGGTTAAGCAACATGATTTGCACTCCCTCGAGAGACGTAGATTGAGGGGCGATATGATCGAGGTGTATAAATGGAAGTCAGGGCTAAATAAAGGTGATATAACAAAGGTACTCAAACTACCCAACCAGGAGCGAACTCGTAGCAATAGCTATAAATTAGACAAATTTAGATTTGTAAACACTGGTTTGGAACTAGAGTAGTGGACGAGTGGAACAAGATACCAAACATCACCATTAACTCGAATACGCTGGATAACTTCAAACATGGGTTGGATGGATATATGAGCGATAGGAGTTGGGTGTAAATGGGACTGCCCAATATGGGTCAATAGGCCCGCTGCAGTTTCCTCCATTCTTATGATCTTATGCGCTACAAAATATTTATCTGTGTGATAATTGGAACTGTGGCTGATATTCGAGGTGGTTCCTGAAAGGGTATACATCAAGTCTGCCTCTGCATAAACCTGTACGCTTCAGACCAGGGACAAACACCACAGCTTACAGCTCAAGCAGCGTTACAAACTCTCAACTGTTACCAACTCTTATGGGAGATGTTAGGATGCTGACCCATAACACAGAAAATGTACGCATGAAATTCCCCCTTCTCATTTGGTGTTACACAGTATAAAATTTCCCACCACAGTCCCCATGGTCACTCCCAACCACAGTCCCCCTGGTCACTCCCAACCACAGTCCCGCGGGTCACTCCCAACCACTGTCCCCCCCGGGTCACTCCCAACCACAGTCCCCCGGGTCACTCCCAACTCTAGTCCCTCTGGTCACCCCCAACCAGTCCCCCTTGGTCATGGTCACTCATTCACAGCCAAGGTTTCTTAAGAACACAATGTGACGGTCAAAAGGTTACACACCTCCCTCCCTCCCCGTGCAGGACTAAGAAAGGATTTGGGAGGGTAATCATGTGTTTTAATGGTTGTCCAGTTGTCATGTCACACACACTCACAACATACAGTACATATACGAGTATATTTCCGGATCCTTGGGCCGGGTGTCCCTGGCCACCGGCTCCGCCTCCGGAAGTGTTGTCTCCGGCAGGCACACTGTTCCGGCAGGGCTGCTGTCTCAGTCGTCACATCACCGAAACTTTTGGGGGATAAAGGCTGGTCAGCGATTCTCATTGCACTTTCTTGCCCTTCACCCACTTGGTGGTGGTCTTACAGTAGTCACCACAAGGTACAGTCTTATCCTTTTGTGCCAGCAGTCTCAATCTTTATATATAGTGTACGTTTTGTTTGAGTTAACGTTGATTTATATAAACATCAAAGGTTGTAACAAAATCAACAACTGTTAAACTTGTTGGCTGTGTTTTTATCTTTGTAGTGAGGGCGTAGCAGGTCCATTGCACAATCTTCAAGCTAAAGGACATGACGGTGTACCCGGACCTACTGCAGTGGTGCAGTCACGAGGGCTATACAGCTTAATGTATTTTAGATCATGTTCACTTTCCCATTTAGTTAACTTGGGTACCTGTTTACAGCTGGGTGGGCTGAGTAAGTGCTCCAAGTAGTTGAAATTCATTTATTTTTACTCGGTTATACCTGATGCTTGTGTTACATACAGTATCATATACTGTACTACTATGTTCTCCATGTTATGTTGATTACTACCCTCATATATTTATTTTGTTGATGTTTTCCCAGGTAACTTCTCAAGAGAACTACAGCTAAAGTCATGTAATTACTGTATGTAACTTTACAACTGTTACCTGTAGATTATCTGGTTAAAAAAAATTATTTTATGAGGGAAGGGAGGTTCTGGAAGGGATGTGGGGGGAGAAAAAATCCCAAAGGTAATAATATGAGGCGTAGAACTATCTGAACTTGACACAATAAAGATATCCTTATCGCCAGGTAGTAAGCCGCTACCAAACAGGGAGGTACTACCGCCTGGGATGATATTGGAAGCATAATGCGTTGTCTAATGGTAGACCCTGCTGTCACGTAGCATCACGAAAATTTTGACCAAGTCCCAGGTTGCTGATCTGACTTTCTGCCTCATTTACACACAATTGCAGGGTCTCAATTGTTTATCTTACCATTGACAACACAACATACTGTACATATATTGTTTCTCACTCTTGATAAAAAAAAAACATTGTATGTCTTTATGGTCCTTTCTTCTTATTATTTTTATTATTATTATTAAATTTTCGCCCCCCAGGCCCCAATGTAGATCAGTGACCTGTGCTCGGGTGGGCTAATCTCCGTAAAAAAAAAAAACCTGCTGATCGTATGACGCCACTCTCGGAGTTGTTTATTAGAAGATCAGATAACAGTCTGGCAGATAGTGATTATTTGTGGCATGATTATTTTGTCTCCCTGGCAACTACACTTAAGAGTTGGGGGACCCTTGTGACGGCATAATTGTACCAATATGTTTTATAATCCAACTATCCAATGGTTACACGAGCGGGTGTTTCGTGGTCAAGTACAAGTACGACGGCAAGAGTTTCATCAGAGATATGATCTGAAAACGATATCCCCGCACTAACCTACGGCGGCTTTGAACCCCCACAGGATGAGAGGAAGATTGTAAATACCTACTGCTGAGAACTCTACATCAAAATGGGGGTGGGTTTGTCCTTCCCCGAAGAGATCGACAAGCCAGGTTGGCTCTAAAGAGAAGACTCGGCGGTCTGGCCATTTGCCACACGAACCTTTTATTGTTCTTTTTACCAACAAGATTTTAGTTTAATAATACAAAACCTCGGGGATCGTGAACAGAAGCTAACTTCGGTTACCAAGGATGGGGTACCTTGTCCCCAAGGTGAAGGTGAAGCCCGTGATTTAAAAGTTTGTCCTAGGTGGTGCAAAGACCCCAGCCAGGACACCCACCCATCCAACCCAGGGCATCCTTAGAGCTCCATACCCTTACTGCAGCCCAGTACCCTTGTGGTAACTCTTTGGTTAGAACCTCATCAGCAACCAGTTCGGCACGGACAGTCCTGCCAGGTGTCAGCATACACCCGCCAACAGACTATATTGCTGGGTTCTCGAAGCTCACAAGCCCCCCCCTCCCCACAACGCGACAAGGCGGTTATCCCCTCTAACTAATCTCATAAATCTCCCGCGATTATGCTATATACAAATTAGAACCTACATATATCAATGAATTATGAAGTCATCACACTACTCGTTCCTTCCGAGTCTCTGAACTGTACTGTATGTTTAATCTTATCATCTTCTCTCTCTTTAATCCGAGGTCTTCTGGAAGATGGAGGAGACATGCAAACAATCACTGCAACTGTCGGATATTCTAGATCTTCATAGTTTCGTCAACTATCTTTTATTTATACCATTTGTTGTTAATTACTAATCCAAGTGTTCTCTCCTGTTTGGTGCGAGAATATAGTTCTAGAATACCCGTCACTAACTTGTTGCACTTTCAGTATTGTATGAGAGGTGAAGGAGTGAGGGCGTTTGAACGTTGTTTGAGCACCACCGTCCCCCGCCAAGCCCAAGTACCTGACACACAAATTAGGCAACCTGGTGAGTGAATACGATTTAATAACTATTTCAATACCTTTACTGATAAAATTTGGAACTTTCTCGCCTTTCCAACCAACAATGACCTGTCCTCTAAAAATTAACTGCTGCACTCCAGCCTGGTTACGACATTAGGACGCTATGATATTCAGAAACCTCGGATCTCACCTCAGAATCCCAGGACTTCAGAGAACCCAACACCTCAGTTTCTTCTATGTCCCAGGTAATAGCGATGTGACGGAGAAACAGGTGGACGTCAAGACAATCAAGGCAGTGTTCGGGGACGGGACCACTTCCACATACCCGCACGTGTGGCTGAGGGAGAACTGCACCTGCAAGAGCTGCTTCAACAGTGACGCCATCGCTCGGCTCTTCCTCATTGACGACCTCTGCCTGGATATACGACCTAACGATGCGCAGGTAACGGGGGAGATGAGGAGTAGATGTAAGGAAAACACTGAGAAATACGGGGGGAGAGGAGAGATATTGAAGGGGAAGAGAGAAAAGGAAGAAGGATGGGGAGGAAGGAGAGAAGGGGGAGAAGGTAAGGAGAGAAGAGGTGGTGAAGGAGAGGTAGTGAAGATGAAGGACACGGGCGAAAAAAGGTTATCTAATCATACATATTTGTTTTTCTTTTGTTATGTATAAAAACAAAAATTATCTTCATAAAACTGAAAAACTTCCAGCGGACAAAGAGCTTACTATGTGATTATCTGACAGGTGAAGGGAGGAAACCTGCATGTGGAGTGGTCTGATGGGCACCTGAGCACCTACACTGGGAAGTGGCTACACGAGAGGGCGTTCACACCTGAAGCACGGGCCAAGCGTCGCTCTAGGTACATGCTCTCGCGGGTAAGCAACTCTTAGGATGATGGAGGTGACTTTAGTGACTTCGACCTGGATAGTTAAATATTTGTATAGCACGTTATATTATTCCTCTAAATGAAACCAGAGTGGCATAGAAGTTATATCAACTCTTAGAGCATGAAGAACATGATCAAGTCAGGTCAAGGAAGGAAGGAAGGAAGGAGAAGGAACGCAAGCGACCGACCTTTCCTATAAGAGCAAATCGGCCATCTCTCAACAGACCTGTGGCACACGAATCAGACTCTAAAGTCATCTCCCGATTCGCCAACTCTGACTGATCCGAGGGATCGCCGACGACGACATGAAATCTCACGTAACACTGATGTGTTATACACCATTATTTACAGTGACCAATTCATTTTGACTCTGACTAATATTTTTCCAATGAAGAGAGGTATTCTCTCACCTACTGATGAGAAATAAAAACGCGTAAGAAAATCTAAGAATGTGGACCAAGGTGACATAGTGGCATAATCAACGTCTCTCTCAATACACCTACCCTCTCATAACATCCCTCCTTCCCTCTGACAGGTGCGCTGGGGCTCAGGGTTCCAGGTACCTCGGCTCAATTTCCAATCGGCCATGGAGGAGGACCAGGTACTGCTAGACTGGCTAGTACAGCTGGAGAAGTTCGGTGTGGTGCTGGTGGAGGACGCCCCTACTAGGGTTGGCACCATCAATGACTTCATCGACACACTCGGCTTCATCAAGTCAACACATTATGGGTCAGTACTTAACTGCACCGTTGATGCATCGCTTGTGAAAAAATCGCAGCCAAATCCCTGATTCTTACCAATGTCATTTACATTGTTGTTCAAACCATGTATCTGCAATCATCATCATGTTACTAAAAATTAAAGAATAACCATTTTCCTGTCCAAAATGCTGCTGAAACTTTCTAAGAATATTCCATAATACACCACCTTGAATGTTTGTGTCTGACATTACGGTTTGTCATCTTAAATTGACGTTCATATACCAGACGTCAGCGTACAGTAATATCACACAGGATTACCACCTGACGCCCAGTAAGGGTCATCATTTTCCCGCCATGGGGAATGTCACGTCAAAACTGAATACAAAAAATCTTAAGTCTTTTGCCTTACTTACAAGCAATATCTACAAAAACCATGAACATATCTAGAGTTCACCTTGCGGTAATACATGAAATGCCCCCACATAAAGCATATTGATCTTGCTTATCCCCCTGTACAACAAACACTTCCCAGTGCTAAGCAAATTTCTCCCAGTACCTAACAAACATCCCCCAATACACCAAACACCTTTCAGTACCTAACTATCCTCCTCGTAATATTCTGACAGGCAAGACTACGAGATCATAAATCAAATCACCCCCAACAACCTGGCGTATACGGGGTCCAAGTTAGGTCTTCATACCGACATGCCTTACTACGAGTACCCGCCTGGGGTGAGTATAGTCCTGCTTAGTGGGATGCTATACCTGCTTAGTACCTGCCGCTTGAGATTAGACTATGGCTGCTTGATATAACCGCATTAAGTGAAACTATACCCTGCCTAGGTTGAGTCTATACATATCTGTCAACGTGTAACCTGTGATATCCTGTTTTGCCAGAGAGACAAACTTAAAACCATCCAATATCGCCCCCCACAGACAACCTGGCTACACTGTATCCGTCAACACGAGGGCAAAGGAGGAGCCAATGTCCTAAGCGACGGACTGAACGCCACCGAATTAATGAAGGAGATACACCCACAACACTACGCCACCCTTGTAACCACCCCAATCTACTTCCAGGACAAGGGCTTCCAGATCTATGACTTCGACAAGATCACCAAGACGACAACCATAGAGTGAGTCCGTCTTCCTTCCCGTCTCTCTCGCTTCCTCCTCTAAAACTCCATCCCTATGCATTAATCAAGGTCTGCCTATGTCTCTCCAGGTGTCTTCCTATCTGTCCTTCTACACCATTTAATCCCAAGATAGGAGCGTTTAAATCTGTTACACACACACACACAAGCACATTCTCTCCAGCACTTGCCTCGGGCTTTTTATTCATCCATTTCCCTTCCCTTTGTATTTTTTAAGGCCTCTCTTTCACTCTTCCCCTTTCTCCTCATATATGAACTTTTATTTACCTTCCCATTGCCGCACCTGAAAATTCCTCCATTTCCACCTCCCCACTCTTCTGACCTCATTTTTCTGTCTGCACCTAAACATCACCTATTCCCCCATACCCATGACCTCTCCCCTCACATGGCCCTGACCTTACTTTCTCCTACCCCGCAGGCTGGACGAACAAGGGAAGCTCAAGAGGCTGCACACATCGTCACAGTCGAGGGACTCGATCATGGACCTGACCCCTGAGCAGATCCTGGCCTTCTACAGCGCCCTCAAAACCTTCAACAACACCCTCTACGAACACAGCATAGAGATGAAGACCAAACCGGGTCAGTGCTCGTGTCAGCTAGCATTTAAAATTCACTTAGAGGAAAAGGGAAAACGATCTCTTAATTTGGCTATATATTGTGCTGTAATTATATATATTTTTAAATTAATTTCAATATAAAACAGGAAATGCTGTAAAACAATTACGGTATACTGTACATGTTCCCTACCAGTGCCCATTCCCTGGAGAACTGCATCGTGCATCCTCGTGCTCTCTCTAGTGCTAGTGTATACCGGTGTAATATAATACAAAAAAAATAAAACTAATCTGAAATGTCAGATACAATAGATAAGATTACACAATCGAGATCAACAAACATGTAGTAGTTTCGAAGATTCCAATATCAGTTATAAGAAATTAAAAATTGCTTATATTTCTCCAAAAATAAATTAATCAAGGTAAAAAATGGTCTTTATTTATTTATTTTTTATCAGTAACAGCAGCTCTCTTCCCCTCCCACAGGAGACATACTAGTGCTCGACAACTCCCGGGTGATGCACAGCCGGACGGCCTTTGACCCAAGTACTGCCAAGGGCCCCCGACACCTCCACAACGCCTACATCGACTGGGATGAACTCAGGTCTAAGCGGCGCGTTCTTCAAGACAAACTGGGTGTCAGTCTAACCTAAGGTGATCCCCAGTCCACCATAGGCTTAAAAATGTATTCAAAGATAAATCTAAAGCGACTAAATATCGGGAATGTTTTCACTTTGGAAGCTCCCCAATCCACGAGTTTCATGAGTCTATGGAACAGGTCCACAGCTAACTTGTTTATCAACTTTACTAATAAAATTTTGTTTGGTCAGGATAGATTAGATGTTTCTTTGGTTGGTTAGGTCAGGTTCTATTAGGTTCAATATTATTCATTTGCGACGGAAGTGCATAGAATGAAAGTTACTTAGAATGATGAGACATATATCTATTGCATGTATTAACTTTAAAATAGCAGTCACCTTGTAAAAATTTACCCCAATTTGTGCTATGTCTAGGCACGTTTAATCCTGGCCTTGAGAATTTTCCATCTCTGAGGCATTCAGGGATACGTCAAGGGAAGTACCACCACCACCATAACCTTCCCGAGCTTGTAGAGGCCAGCAATAGCTTCCCAACAAACTGGTAAAAACATTGGGGAATGGTACGTGGTGGTCTAGTCTACAGTATTTCTCTGCCCGACACATTCAAGTCAGCCACTACCCACCAGTTATTAACCAATGACCACCTCGCCCACCTTGAATAGAACTAATTTTGGATCTAATGAAAATCAGGAACAACCTAACCTAACCTAACACAGGTGACGGGGTAAACGGCCCTATTATAACTAAAACGTCAAAACCATCCATCCTAATCTATCTTAATCTTGCTTGAATGTTTAATCTTCATGAGATTTATTTTATATGTATGGTGTATAGGAACACTTTATTAATAAAATGATAAAGAACAACAACAATAACTACGCAGTTAAACACTATACTGTATATCAAATTTATAAAAAAAAATTGCGCTCACTGGCAACGCTTCCTGAATAACTTATTTTAAGCGGTGGTTGGGTAATTAGCAGAGTACCTTTCGTCAATCATGTCCAATAGGAATTTGTATCTGTTCTTTACGATATATTCATTGTAGGATGTAGACTAAATTAGCGAATTGGGTGCGGAAGAGCTAATTATTACCTACTATATTATATTTATTGATTTACTATTTCTAGGGAGTATAAATTAAATAAATATGAACACTTACCGTGGCTGGGTGGTAGGGAATCATCATTTCTTAACCAAACGACCAATTCGCTAACTTGTCTTCATAGTTTCGGAGCTGAGGAACGTAATATTTTGTATGCATTGCAACACGGTTTACTTATTACTATTGCAACCCACTGCTGCACTGTAATTTATTGTTCAAATTATAAACAAAGTAAGAAATTAAGTGATTTAAGGATTAAAAGGTACCATTTTACCTCGCCACGTATCATGTAAAGCCACAACAAACGTCCATTAAAATAATTAAAATTTCTTTTTATCGTCAGTCTGCCTCACATATTCCTTTATATTATTTCAATGTATGGTATAGCCTATTCACAACGTCCTTGCAGGGTGCTTGAATCTTAATTATCCACGAAGGTAAAGAACCTGACGCGTCCGTGTGCGTCTCCGTCTTGAGGGTAACTGACGTCTCTTAACTTCTGCTTCGTGGCGGAGGGACATCAGTCAAGGTGGTCATTTGTCTTGCCGCAAACAAAACTAGTTCTGTTAATTTCATATATTTTACGTTGAGTGTATGTATAGTATTTTAGCTGCCGTTCTTATCAATAAATAAATAGTAATGTCGGAGCAAAAACATAAATATTATAAATTCCCGAGTCATCTGCTCTACCTACAGTATTTAGTTTATTGCATGGCATCGAGTGGGGGGCACAGTGAACATACCACTGTTTGAATATGTTTTCGTTCATTATTTTCTCAATATTATCTTACACATTAGAAACATTCCAAGAAATTAGCGTCGTACTCACTTTAATGCTTAAATATTTGTAAATATGTAGAGTGGATGTTGCGCCCCACTCCCATAGCCTTCGTTATAGCATATGGTTACAAAGGTTATTTTAGAAATATAATTAAGGCGTATACATTAATAATGTATGTTGTCTAGCTAATAAAATGTGCATGTGCATGATAAGTATTTTTCTTTGCCTAAAAATGGATGTAATGGAATAGAAACCTTAGACACAAACACCGCCTACCCACACACACCACCCACCCATGCACACACACACACCACCCACCCATGCACACACACACACCATATATAGTAGTAATAAACTGTTGCGGGCTACCATCGCTGCCTCACCTTCTTAGGAGTTTTGATGGCACAGTACCATCCCCCTAGACTCCCCGCCCACCTGGTACGATGTCCTCCATAAACTTCCTGACCTCTCGTATGTCTACGGGAAAGGGTCGCGGAAAGGGGACGTGATTGCTGCCCGTATCATCATTGGGTATGACTTTGCTTGGGAGATTGGTATCCCCGCATCCCCTGAGCAACGCTCTTGTGCATTATGCAGAAGACCCGACAGCCGTTGGGTTATGATTCCTATTAATGTTGTAATTTTGTCAATTTTTATTTGCGTAGTAATTTCCACTATATTATTTACAAGTTGCACAGACAAACATTAAGACCTTACGTCCTTATATAAATAATAATAAATAACATTATTATTCTGCACGGATGAACAATAGGCGCATTACATTACACTGTATAACAAGTGCATTATATTACACTGTATAACACGTGCATTATATTACACTGCATAACACGTGCATTATATTACACTGTATAACACGTGCATTATATTACACTGTATAACACGTGCATTATATTACACTGCATAACACGTGCATTATATTACACTGTATAACACGTGCATTATATTACACTGTATAACACGTGCATTATATTACACTGTATAACACGTGCATTATATTACACTGCATAACACGTGCATTATATTACACTGTATAACACGTGCATTATATTACACTTATAACACGTAAATGCCATAATGTATAGCATTATTACCCAAAAATGCTTAACAAAAATACACAAATGAGATTATAAGATTGATATGTGTGTCAGCCTGGATGACGATCACATTGTATCATGAACACAGATTCTCTCCCTCCTCCCATACGCCCTGCCCTCTGCATCCCCTTCCGCAATTCAGAATGTTGGGGAGGGAGGATGTGGGTCCGAGGGGCCGGGCGGGGTGGGGGGGGGCGGGGGAGTGAGCCGGAGGGAGAAGATGGGCACGAGGACTGGAGCTGCTAAGTCATCGTCGTGCCTGTGAGAGAAACAAGAAATAAATTATTCATATATTCAAACTACTGTTTATATTCCTCTTGTATTAGTAATTCTGGCGGAGGATAAGTAGCCACTGTACTACGCCGCCGCCACCTCAGAGTTGTAACGTTACTACAAAACAGCAACTGCGGCAGGTTCAGTAAACCGGGTAACTCACCAACTTCCCCCGCTGCAGGAGTTCCTTTAGGAGTGACTACATCAGTAGCCACCACACTTCTGCAACACTGTCTTGTAAGCCGTCTTAGTCTTTGTGTGGCTGACGGTAACGACGTTCCAGACGAGCTCTGTCGACGTCACCACCACAGTATTGGGGACGGACACCACCTGGCCAAGAGAAGCACAGTCAGAGACAGAAGGAAGTAAGAGATCGGCTTTATACTAAGATCCGTGTGTTAATTTCTTTCCTTAACTCGTGACATTTGAACGCATTTAACTGGCTCGCTTAACCTACGGCATAAAAGTTATCTGTGGCAGCCAAAATGACAGAGTTTCCAATATAAGTAAATGCGTCCTCACATCCCCTGTTACCAGGATAAATTTTTATGCACTAATTTTTCAGCACCAGGATCCATGACGACCCTCATATGACACTTGAAATTATAAAGGGTGTTAACGCGAGGGTGGGAAATACTGCAACTCAGCCACTGGTTGACAAGAGCGCTGGAGCAATGATAAATGAGAGAAACATCTGCGCAGCCAGCAAACTGAGAAAAAACCAGATTGGTGTAAAAATGTTGAACAAAATCGTATTGATGTTAAACTGGAGGACTTAAGACCCTACTTGAGCTGGGACAGTCAAATATTTTATCAAGGAGGTGACTGAACTGTGATAGTCGAGTCTTTCTTAAGATGGGGTAACTCAGTCAACTACGAACAGATTAAGGCTGTGTTGGAGTGGGGAGGGCAGTGTGGGGTTACATCATATTTATTGTTTATATCCTTACTGAGAGGTGAGTGAGGGAGGTTACTCACGGTGCTGGTGAGGGCCTGGTAGCTGCTAGTTACGGTGTCGGTGTGATACTCTACAGTGGTGGACGTCTGCGTGGCGATGAGTGTATTGGTGACAGTCTCTTGCTCCTGCTTGGTGACTGTGCGTACTACAGTGGCCAACTCGGTACTGGTAAATGTCCTGGTGACCGTCTTAATGTCATGCAACACGTTGGTTTCGGTGAGGACCCGCGTCTCCGTCACCAATTTACCCCGCGTCACAGTACTAGTGGAGTATACGACCTTGGTGCTCGCGCAGTAGCCGGTCTCTCGAGGCTGAACAAATGTGGTGAGGGCCGTGGCGGTCACTAGAAGAGTTTTGTCGAGGGGCACAGTACTGATGATAAAAGTAGGCAGAGGATGAGGCACCGTCACGTACTCGGTGGTAAACTGTGTCTGTGTGACCTCCGTGACCACCGGCTGTGTCACCACTGGGCACACAGCTGCACCACCACCACCCACGCTACCGTCGATGCCACCACTTACGTTAATTGAACCATCGATACTAGTCACAACTCCATTTCCTGCATTAACGCCAAACCCACTGTCTGTACTTCCGGTGATGATGCCGGGTTGCCCTCCACTTCCGGTGATGATGCCGGGCTGACCTCCACTTCCGGTGATAATGCTGGGTTGGCCTCCACTTCCGGTGATACTGCCGGGCTGACCTCCACTTCCGGTGATGATGCCGGGCTGACCTCCACTTCCGGTAATAGTGCCGGGCTGGCCTCCACTTCCGGTAATAGTGCCGGGCAGGCCTCCACTTCCGGTAATAGTACCGGGCTGGCCTCCACTTCCAGTTATAGTGCCGGGCTGGCCTCCACTCCCGGAGCTTGTGATGAATACTCCACTTCCACCGTTAGTTGTACCGGTTCCACTACTTCCACTACTGGTGCCGATGATAATTCCACTGCCCGCTCCTGAAATGACACCGAATCCACCACTGCCAGCTCCGGTACTGACACCGAATCCACCACTGCCAGCGCCGGTACTGACACCGAATCCACCACTGCCAGCGCCGGTACTGACACCGAATCCACCACTGCCAGCGCCGGTACTGACACCGAATCCACCACTGCCAGTTCCTGAACTGACACTGAATCCACCACTGCCAGCGCCGGTACTGACACCGAATCCACCACTGCCAGTTCCTGAACTGACACTGAATCCACCACTGCCAGCTCCGGTACTGACACCGAATCCACCACTGCCAGCAACTGAACTGACACCGAATCCACCACTGCCAGCTCCTGAATTGACGCCGAATCCACCACTGACGCTTCCACTCCCAGTGCTGACACCACCTCCACCAGTGTATCCAGTGGAACCTGTACCAGCCAAGTAGAACCTGTTGTAGCCGCTGCTGGGTTTTCTGTAGGCGCCCCTGGTGTAGGCGCCTACTCCGCTGCTCTTCTTAGCAAAGAGGTCCAGGAGGGCCCAGGACGGCACCACTCCCAGGGTCGCCACCGTCACCAGTAACACCTGTGCGCGCATCTGCAATTGTTCACAATACACGTCATGCCCTGACTGTCTGTGTCATACATAGACACACTCAAACACACGCGCACGCACACACAAACATTCACCTAATCTTACCTACACAATTTGATTTTTTCATTGCTTCGCACACATACATATATTTTCACAATATTACACAAAATTATTCATTTGAATATCCCTGTGGAGGGGTGTGGTGTTTTACTGGAGCTTAATTGCCCCTTCTTAATAACTGCATTAATTAATTCCTTGTGTGATTAATTATACTACTACCGCTTACCCTTTACAGATGGCCAATGATGCAGACGAGTTTATCGTGTTAGAAACAAAACTCTCGTACTTACATATGAGGGCAGAGATTAATTGTACAGTAAGTTAGTAAAGATTTAAAACTGCCCAACTGTATTGATACCTAATAATATACGTGAGGGAGGGAAGAGGTATGAAGGTTGAGTGTATCATGTCTACTGCTGGATCAAATTCACTGTTGTGTTAATTGTTCATCTACACTTGCAGTAATTATAATGGAACCTTAGTATTGTAAAAGACTAGTAAACTATACGGAGTTATTCATTCAACGCTTTTCATGAACGTATTAATCGGCGTTTACACTTTGTTACCTACAGTGTATGTCAATGCCATTAAATCAGTCAACTATACATCGTTACAATAAACATATCCCCTCGTTGACAAAGACTCACTAGGGTAAACTAATATTCACAAAACTGTAGAACCACTGAGAGCAACTGCCGCCAAGCTGTCGCGACTGGCAGCTCGCACGTCTACTCACCTTGACCTCTGAAGATGTAACTGTGACTAGTATGACCCCAGCTTTGCTTATATAGGCAGTTTTCAGGAATCTGTGGTTTAATAACGGAATTTCCGGGGTAACCGAATATATTTAATAATTTATTTCTCACTTGTAAATCAATGTTGCTGTGTTCATCTGGGGAGTTGTGTCTACGGTCTATGCTTCGTTATGTGAAACGTGGAGTTATTAAGTCGGAAACACTTAATAAAGACGCTTGTATATAAGCATAAACTGTTAGGTGGTATGAATGTTACAGAATCTTTGTTTTTCACCAACCCAAGAGCCAATCAGCGAGAGGTGAAAGGATCCTACACTGGCTGAGCCAATCACAACGCACCGACCTGGATCTCGCCAGGCCTGACATGACCTGAAGACAAGATAACCTCAGTCCTGTGGTAAACAAAGTAAGGAGGGTGATGCGGGGAAACTACTTCCTTGTGTGTTGTAACGGGAGAGTTAGGCGGCCTCTCCTTCCCTGTCCTATCTGTCATTTTCTCTCATCTCTCTCTCCCTTTAATCATTCGAACAGTAAAACTTTCTTGGCCTGCTGAATAACTGTAATTGAATGTCAACAAAAGCACAAAGTCAGTAAAAGCCTGGAAAAGTTTGTCTTCTGGCAGATTATGTTAACATTAACAAAGTGGTAACATACGATCTACCACGTCAACGAATGCAATTTTCTTCATTAATACTTTAATAAATTAATATAGCTCTACAGAGAAAGGTTGTTCATTTAATTTCAAAGGAACTCATTCAGGTTATTTTGTTATGACCTAGCAGTACAGTATTTAAAAGACTAACAACCTTAAATTTACTTAATCTGTAAAATAAACATTGTAATCACAGGCGTTGGCACTTTATTTTATTCTGAGTCTAATCTTTCTGTGTCCGGTGGTGTCAGCTCTTTGAGCCTTTAACATAGAAGAACATTTAATTCTACCCTGTTCACTCCGTCCGTATGTAATGTTGTTCTTGTTCATTTGTTGGACACATGAGAAAAGTTTCGCGGATCGATATGAAATTAAGTATGTAATTTCTTACGAAGTTAATTTTGGACGAAATCAGTAATCACTATTTTCTACCTTTAAATACCACAGACTTGACGTGAGTTTAATGTGAAAATCTAACACGGGTAAACAACTTCAGTAACTCTTGTTAATTCCAAATGTGTTTATTTTTTTATGGGATAAATTGTCGCTGTTTTAATATGTTGATGAAAAATCGGAATGTAATTTGTATCTTTATAAATAGTTAATACTGTTGTGCAAGTGATAGTGGTCCAGTGGGGGAGTTGTGTAGGTGGTAGTGGTCCAGTGAGGGAGTTGTGTAGGTGGTAATGGTCCAGTGAGGGAGTTGTGTAGGTGGTAGTTGTCCAGTGAGGGAGTTGTGTAGGTGGTAGTGGTCCAGTGAGGGAGTTGTGTAGGTGGTAGTGGTCCAGTGAGGGAGTTGTGTAGGTGGTAGTGGTCCAGTGAGGGAGTTGTGTAGGTGGTAGTGGTCCAGTGAGGGAGTTGTGTAGGTGATAGTGGTCCAGTGAGGGAGATGTGTAGGTGGTAGTGGCCCAGTGAGGGAGTTGTGTAGGTGGTAGTGGTCCAGTTGTGTGTGGTAGTGGTCCAGTGAGGGAGTTGTATAGGTGGTAGTGGTCCAGTGAGGGAGTTGTGTAGGTGGTAGTGGTCCAGTGGGGAGTTGTGTAGGTGGTAGTGGTCCAGTGAGGGAGTTGTGTAGGTGGTAATGGTCCAGTGAGGGAGTTGTATAGGTGATAGTGGTCCAGTGGTCCAGTGAGGGAGTTGTGTAGGTGGTAATGGTCCAGTGGTTCCAGTGAGGGAGTTGTGTAGGTGGTAGTGGTCCAGTGAGGGAGTTGTATAGGTGGTAGTGGTCCAGTGAGGGAGTTGTGTAGGTGGTAGTGGTCCAGTGAGGGAGTTGTATAGGTGGTAGTGGTCCAGTGAGGGAGTTGTGGAGGCAGAAGTCTTCTTTATTGTAACATAATGTAACGTAACATAGCATAACCTAACGTAACCTAACCTTACCTAACCTAACCCTACCTAACTTTAACTTAACCTTACACAACAATGTAATGCCATCACCTCAATTCCAGCCTAACTGTGCTGGACACTTCCTGGTGGGTCACGGGTCAGGTCACAAGCGCTTCAGGGGTTGGGTGAGGACAAGGGGGGAAAGGGAGGGAAGGATAGGGTAGGGAGGGAGGTAGTGGGAGATCATAGGTGAAAGGAGGAAGGTATAACGTGGAATGTAATGTAAAGATGAAGGCAGAGGAGGTATGGAGGACGAAAATGGGAAGGCACAGGTGTTAGCAGGAGGTAGGATACAGGCAGAAGTAGGAGGAAGAATGAGATGCAAGTGAGGGGAGGTTGAGGTAAGACATAGGGAGAAGGATGGGAATGAAGAGGGTAATGCAAATCTCCTCTACTTTCACCTCCACAGAAGGGTGGGCATTGGGCAATCTTGTTTACCCCAAAACCAGGTCCATGAGGCTTAAGTCATTTGAGTTAAATATACAGTTAATCTCGAGGTATTTCTTTTCAGATAAATTAGTTTTAATATTCAGTTTGGCTTAGTGCGGTGTTGAACTAGTTTTCATCTCCATATATGTATATTATTTGAGTAATTTTAATGTTTAATACTTTTCTAAGACCATATCAAACTTGAGTGAAATTAAGGGTAATTACACTGATATGTTAGATCTACAAAAAAACATTTTCATATCTCTAAACATCGCTCAAGTCAGTCAGTCACACAGTACCTGTGTCTGAAGGAAGCATAAAATTCACTGAATACAATGCAATACTGTATGCTAATGAGTAACTTTACTGTATTTCCAAATCATTGGCCATTTTGTAATTATATACTCGTGATTTTCTTCTAAAATAAGTGTAAAGATAATAAGATAGTAAATAACTATTAAGATTTTTTTGTACAGCATTTTATTTTGTAGGACAACATGGATAACACTAGTGTACGGACCCATTTTGATTCAGTCGCAGTTATATCAGCCATCTTGGACTTTTCAGGTAAAATAAACAGCTCAGACTAATCTTCTTGTCAAAATAATTCAAGTGATTCTACGTTGATAAAAAATAAATCTACAAGTATTAAACTACAGCCACTTAATTCTGAGTTCAGTGGCTGCACCCATCTGTTACCTGGTTATGCACTGACTGATCCTATTAACTGTTAACTCCAGTAGGAAGCAACATTATTTTAGAGAAAACAACAAATTTGCATTATTCCTGCATATCCTACTGTAATGTTGAAATTTAGATTCATCAGTTGTGTTGGATGAGAAAGATGTTAACATTAAGATCCACAACAGGTGTATTTTCTCACTCTATTTTTATATTTGAAATTAACGTCCTCACAACATATACAGTACAGTACTTTATACTCATTTTCAATTAATTTACAGTATAAATTTTATTCATCTGCTAAGGAATAATTTTATATTTTCATGTTTTTAAAGGTACAGTATCCCTATATTTACGATGGGGTTACGTTCCTGAAAAACCCATCACAGGTCAAATATCATAAATTGGGATCAGTATAGCATGGTGTTCAATGGGATACGTTCCCAGCCAGTACAACACCCACATGTATCACCGAAAATAAAATTCCTACACTAATACTACACCTACAACACAATTAAATAACACTCACCACATCAATAAGAACAAGCCTGGTCATCATCATGTGTTGAAGGTGGAGTGGAGATGTCCCTCAGACTCCCACACAGTTTCACAAATGTCAAACTGGTCTTCCTCCTTTCCTATGTTGTCTCCAGTGGCTGAATGGGCATTTAAATTGTTAATTCTAACTGGTGCTCCTCAAGATGCTCTTCTCTTGATGAAATTCATATCACTGTATCTCTCACATGACACACCCTAGTGAGATTCAGAATGGGTTGCTCTTCCAGCCACCACATGACTGAAACATGCACCACACTTTATTCAGGGATGACAAAGAAATGACTTTCCAAGCTGTGCATGGTGACTTTGGGAATGTTGTAATCCTTTCAGAAATCATGCACAGTCATCACTTTCTCTTCCTTCACAGTTGACATCATCTGCCTCAGCAACTGTTATGGGTTGTACAACTAAAATTAGGTGATACCATGGTCAAGAGGTTTGAGAACTGATATAGTATTGATAGGCAGGAACCCAACTTGATGTACTGAGTGATCAGAAAGTTGCAGAGCACTGAATAAATATATATAAATATATATATAATATTTTTGTTTGTTTCAGATTACTGTATTAAAGTAGAACATATCATGCATGTTCAAAATGGCTAGCATTAATATAATTTCATGCCTGTAAGCAGTATAGCATGTTGAACACTCATCCCAATTCTTCCTCTGTGGTGTTGTGGTGTTACTCAGGGGCAAATAAATAGGTTTCTGCAACTTTTTGACCACCCAAGGATGAATTAACCCCTTCAATACGGGATACTACATTTACCTGTAATATTTTATGCAGCTAACTCCAAATGATTTTATTCAGCAAAGCCCCGTACAAAATGGGTTAAGAATGACCTGGTCTCAAAGTGGTGCACCCAACCATAAGTCCCTTTCCCTACTTGTGTTGACACTCTTGTAAAATGATAAAGTGAAGATAAACAAATAACCAAGGTCAAAGATAAAAACTGAACATATATCTGTACCTAAACAGCCTAGGACTGTACTGTATAAACAATATGGCCAATCTTTACTCTACTTCATCAGTACATTGTAAATTTGTAATTTATTTATCTAAACTAACATTACATAGCATGACATTATGGAGTCAATAACATATCTAAATTATAGTAAATATCAAGAAAATGTGCCAGTTGGCTTATAATCAGTGTAATAGTATCTGCTATCTGGGAAGCCCCATGTACAATATGTTTGTTCATTGGTGTTTTTATCATTCTTTCTTGCAAGTCATGGCCAGATCTCAGCACCCTTGATATCTAGCAGTCAATTTGAATCATGAGTGTGCAACATAGTTCTTATTTATTAACTTGAATTTCCAGTGTATAGTAATACAGTACTGAGTAAATAATGCAGGTATAAGATATTGTTGAACTGATAAGCTATAGGCCCCCTCTAAGCCTGAACCCCTGGCTCCCCGTCTCCTTGCAGTGTGGCAGTATAATCTTGACCTGCTAATCTCCAGACATCAGTGTTGACTAGAAATAACTGGCACAGAAGGACTTATTGATGGCAATTCTTCATTTTATAAATCTTCGTTTGCATGTTTTTGCATTATTTATGGATAGGGAATCACTTACAAAATACAATAAAACAGTAGCATACAAGCATAATATACAATACAATACTGTACTCTAATAATAACAATCACAACATTTTTTACATACAGTATATATTGTATTGTATTGTTTTTGTTATAATATGCAGCCTATAAATATTGACATAGGTTAGGGCTCAGTGTGTCTCAATCTGGCCCTGTACCCAAAGGACAAATTATTTGGAAACAATTTAAAAGATGAAAGACGTAAAACTTACAAATTTAACTCAGTGTTAAGAAACCCTACACAAAGTAATCTTCCCTTGTGCTTAACATGATCCCTTCTAATGGGGCTGGAGACCAAAAGATGTCATTCACAAATCCAATTAAAAAACATTGAAAGCATATAAACTCTTATGCTTTCAATGTTTGGCCCTTATTACACCAGCCAGCACTGGATATAGATAGTGTGTATTGCTGCTTTTATAATGACACAAATTTAGGTATCCAAACAAGTCTTATGTAGGTATCATAATAATCTTTTATACTTGCTATGTCAGTAAAGTATAATCAATGTTGTAGTTACAAGTACAGTATATAAAAGATACTCTAGTTCCATTGAGAATGTAAGAACACCTTTCAAAACAAAGATGAAAAGCAGTTCTGATGTTATCAATGTTGTCTAAGTAATATTTTGAACAGGTCTGTATTCTAGTTGTTATTGACCTTATACATCTCTTGCATATTTTGTATTTTCACTTACTGTATTTGTTTGCACCCTTGTGAGTCATCAGTTTGCAGCTCTTTTTATTTTCTGAATCTTTTGAACATTAATGATTTTTGACTGCTCTCTTTTGAATATACAGTAGATCAGGTCAGTCAAGCATCTCTTGTTGATATTTTTTCTTTGCTGCTATTCACAATGTCGTTGTGCAGCGAAGGTAATGTATGCAGTATTCATGGATCAGTAGTGATGACATATGCATCATTTTTCAAGATGTCATTTCCTAATGGCTAGAAACAAAGCTGTTGCCTCAGTAACCCACAGTATGAAAAGGCTTAGGAAGTATCTGTTCTTGAGTGTGCAGATTGAAATGTTGAAATCTTGCCAAGACTGGTAGTACAAACAAGATAACTGCCTCGGTCTATGACATTACAGAGGCTTTCATGAGATCACATAGTACATTAGCGTGAGTTCTATCAATATGAATATTTCTCAATAAAGATCGATTCACATATTTTAAAAGTCTCACATTTTGAATCTTTACCAATTTAACCCCATGTTCCCCACAATAAGTTAAGTTCACAAAATTGTGGCTCAATTATTCAAGACAGTTTCATAGCAAAGTGTGGGTGGATGACTAAGTAACAAGAACATAAAAAATGTTAGATATACAAAGAGATAAAACAATGTTTTTGCTACCAGTATTTGTTATAATTTTTTTCAAAATATAAATCAATTACAGTATAGTATTTGAAAAAGATTTACATGGACTATGTTTTTCTTGGTGGGCAAGTGATCATGTAGAACAATTTCTTAAAAACATTATTATTGACTGTAAAAGCTTGGCTATTTACTTTACATGCTATCTTTGCTGATAAAATCCTTGTTACATTATAAAAAAAATGAGAAAAACACAGTTGCCTTGCAAAGATTTATTTCCAACACCAGCACACAGGCACACATGCATAACAAATATGCATGTCAGTTGGTCCCAGAGAATAATATCTCTGTTTTTATTTCACAGATATCCCCAGTTTAGTGAAGTAACTAGTGTATACAAGAGTTCATTTGTCATCTTATAAACACACACTACTGCAGTGACCTGAACCATATCTTTAGGAGAGTTTTGAGTTCTAATGAATATTTAGTGTTGTGAACATAACATTAATAATCACGGTAAATAGGTTCAAGTCCTTGTCATACTGTAGTATGTATTTATCATACCCTTACAACAACTGTGGCAGTAGTTGCTACTGCCAATGTTATGTATTTACCTCATTTTTATACTGCTGAATAAAACAAGTTTACAAATTTCAAAGTACCTGTATAAAAAAATTTCTTGATCCATAAAGTATTCATTAGATTCAGTAAGATTACATAATTTTCCTTGTATCAGAGAATGTGTTGACTTAAATCATGGCACTTCATTTTAAAAGTTGCATGTTAAAGGACCAAAATGTGCTTATTTTTCTGTTTTGCATCAGAAATAAAATTCTGCACGATTACAAAATTTAAGCATCTTACAAAGAAGTCTCATTTTCATTACGTACAGTATGTTCATTTCAATTTTATCACAATTCCTTTTAGGATTGTTTACAGTCAGTCCACATTTAAAACTTTTATACCAAACATCATAACATGTATAAGAGAAAGGATTGAGATGGTGAAATAATACTGCATTTCAATGATTTCAAATGTTCAGTAATTTTGGTATACGTATATGACAATTTATGAAAACTGAGAGAACTGTTTATATAAGACAATTCTTGAATTTTTAGTATAAACTATATACATTAGATTCAACTTACAACAGCCATATACAACAATGTACACAAATAAAATATGTATGTATACAAAATCTAAACTAAACAAAATAATAAGACGACATAAAATTTACAGTTCTACAAAGATCCAATTCTTGGGGAAATTTCATTCTGATGAATTTTGTATCTCCTTAAAAATTGATTGAACTTAAACAAAAAGAGTAACATCATTCAACACATTCATTCACAATGATTAAAAAAAGACAGACATATATAAGGACTTCTTTGGGTTTGTTATTGTTATCAGATCTGACAGTGAAGGAAGAAGTAAGATTAAATACAAAAGATTTTCAGAGAGCAGCTCCACTGGATAACATACCTGGGAAGTGTTGATAATTCTGTTATTGCATGTTGTTGACATTTAATCCCTTAATTGTCAAACATAATTACCGTATATAAGCAAATTTGCTAAGTTTACAACAGCCCTTTATATTGAACACAAGTTACTTCCGGATACTTCATGTACCCGGTATGTTTTATTCAAGTGAAAGCTTTGCCTTTAAATTACCCCAGGAAGAGTGGTACAGTAGCTTGATAATCATACACATGTATTAACCAATGGTCAGTAACTGCTCACTAATAATGAGAGAGGAAGACCCTATATTAAATGCTACATGAAAAGTGACTTTAGCAAGTGACATTGCCAGACTTAAAATTATGTACAGTACACCCCCCTCCACAAGAAAGAAGGGTCTCTTGCAGTATGCAAGAAATTCTTATCTAGTAAGGAGTCAATCTGATGAAAGTAAATAAAAAATACACAAACAAAACAAGAAAATTGGAAGACTTTATATAAAATATTTACACAACTTGCACACTAGTAAGCAAGATAATTATAGGATTTACTTGATCACAATGGCACACAAAATAATGTCAGTATCTTGGTTTTATGTATATAAAATTATTCAGTATATAGATTACAATAAAAAAGTTTTGTGATATGCATGCACCTATTCTGTCAGTGAATAGGCACTGCAGCATAACTTCTCAGTCTTGATAACAATTTGTTCATTCTGAGCAAAACGTAAAGCTTTATTTATCTACAAAGATTGACCTATGCATGTGTAAACATGTAATCTGTTATATTGAAATGGCTAATGTTCAAAACACAGCTGTGGATTCTTCTGGTGTCTGCAGTTTGCCTCGGAGTGCAGTTTTCCATAAATATAATAAATCAGATATGACTTTGAAAAGTCAAATGACCATCTGATGTTTTTACTCTTACTATGACTCTGTTACTTGTATGACTTGTGCCCAGTCCCTGCCTCACTGACAGTCATGTAATGTGTCACTTGACTCATTCAGTAAAAATACTGTTTGACTATGTCATGATGATTAAGTATTTATTGACAGATTTTTGCCATATTAATATCTTTAAAAGGTGTGTACTTTTCACAACTGCCCATTACAAATACACTCCTTGCTTAAAGAGAATAGGGACAACTCTTTAAGCTGGAGCCATTAGAACAGATAGTTTTTGAAATCTCCATCAAGACTTTTGATATGGTCAAGTACAGGATGAGAAACTTCAGTAACAACTTACTGCTTTTCATTCTGAGTTAATTCAATATACTTCAAACAGACAGGGACATACTGATTCTTAGTACTGAGTTAGGCAAAGCTCTCCTCCCAAGCTGGAGTTTTATGGAGACACTGTTCAGTATTAGTCACATAAGATGGGCACTCCGGGCATGGCTGATATCAGTCGATCTCCTCAACATAGGTCGCAGGGAAGATACCGATTACACCTTCCAACTCTCCTACCCACCAACCATCAGGCTGCTTCTCATGAATATTTATTATATCACCTGTTAAAGAAAGAATAGTGTTAGATTTGGATATAAGCACAATCAAATTAAGGACCACATCACTCATTAATATAAAATACTGTAATAAAGGAGTAGTAATCGTATCATGACACATTACTACACACCCAAGAGTAGACATGGACTATGTTTAATTGATTTCAACAGTGGCAATGCTTTTAAACCCATCAGGTACTTCTTGTAGACTTGAAACTTATGACCTTAAAAAAAAATTAAAAATAAAATCCAGCATTGAAGATTTATTTAATTATGATTACAGAAATGCATATAGCTATGGTTAATTGGTAGTTTTTAAATTGCTGTAGAGCATGGAAAAGCACATTTATGATATAAAGAAGGATAATATAAATTAAATATGTAACAGATGGATGACAAAGATACTGTATAGTTCTTGAAAATTAAACAGATTGCTGTTAAAAGAAAAAAGTCATGCTCTTGAAGTGCAAATGCAGCTGAAATTATGACTGCCATTGTCAATTCTTTATTTCAGGCTGGTGTGTGTTAGATATGATCCTAGGAAACATTCTTCTCATTCCTGTCACATGTCACTAACGTATCATCATGTATATGCAGGTTCTTCTCTCAGTTGATAGTTTTAAACATTTCTAATACAGGTACTCCCCGACTTACGATGGGGTTAGGGACCAACATCCAGGTCGTAAGTCGAAATGGTTGTAAGTCGGAAATGCTTAAATAACACAGAAAATAAAAAATTTGGGTCTCTTTTACTTCTCAGCACCACAAAACACTCACTTTTAAGCTTGCCAGCCATTTTAAAGTGAATTACAGATGAAAATTTTGTCTGTGTACTGACTTTGGGACTCAAAATACATAATTTGACCACATTTTGGTACAATTGAGGCGGTCGTAAATATGGGTGGACGTGAGTCGAGTCGGTCGTAAGTCGGGGACTACCTGTAGTCTCATAATTTTATTATAATAATGAGGTAAGAAAATAATATATTATAGCAAGTAATCAGGAATGGAAGTAAGAGGTACTATACTAAAACCAGGTATAACAAAAGTACCCACCTATTCCTAGGATATTGCTCCCAATGATGGATGATCTGCTAACCAATACATAGCTAACAGATATCATCATATAAAACAGAAGTGTAATGACAGAGCAAGGAACTAAAATTTTCTATACCAAGTAAACTCACAGAGCAAAACAGATCTTGATCTAGTTCAGCCACTAACCTGTTCTGACGGTGAGCTCATCATACATGTTGGCTTCATAATCATAGAGAGCCTTACACCTGCCTACAGTTGGCGCTGAAGATAAGGGACGAGCATAATAGACACCATCCTTAGTGCCTGAGTCCACATTGTCTTCTGTCATAGCTGTCTGGTAGTCCCGGTCTGAACCCTGGGAGCTGAACTCGTCTGCAACAACCATGAGGGAGGGGTAACGGGGAGCAGACATAAACACGCGAGGGGTTTTTAATGGCGTGGTTGAAGATGGATCTATATTAACAGAGATTTGTTTCTTCTCTGCATTGGGGCTTGCAGTTAAAGCTTTTGTTCGAACAGGAGGTGTTGGTGTGATTTCTTGGGTATCATCAGAGTGTGCATGACAATTGTTTACTGTGTTGTCTGTTGGTAATTGGGATTTGTGTTCTTGGATAAGAATTTAAGGATATAGCAGAATGGGGACAGTTATTGGAAATATTTAGGGGTTCAAGGATATTGATAGAAGAAGGTATGGAGAGAGTGGACCAGAATAGTTATGGGAACAGAAGATTAGCGTACAAAAGCACGAGGTAGGGAAAGGAAAAGATGCATTAATGTTTCCTGTTAGGTTAATACTTTATGGGGCAATCTCTGAGTTACATTTTGTATAGCATAACAAGAAAACCATAAGTATTTATATAAAATTAAAAGAAGAAATCTCAAGTACAAAAAGCAGTTGATTAAGATCAGACATTTTAGCCATTCAATTTTATTGTTCATTATAGTTAGTTAACTACAAGTTATCAGTGTCAGATTATTTGGTGGCATACCGAAGTCTGAATCTGGTTGCACTGAGGTTCCATCAGCAGTGCCTCGGTCATTCCAATTTGGAGAACCAGTTGGGGAATCACTGGCAGGGGACACATCTACACTGTTTCCTCGAACCCATGGTGGAACCTGCAAAAATACAATTAAGTATGTTAACCTTTTTATTATTTATCTGGGTAAGTATGAGGGCTAAGTTATTGTAGACAAGAGTTGACAGGGAGTTAACAGATGAAGAGTGCAAGCATTGAAGGTGACTGGTGTTTAGGTTCAACTAAATGGAACCCACATGTAGGATGGGTGGCACAATGAAAATTCATATTTCATGTAACTGAGTGAAAAGAAAGGGGATGATAGGCTGGATAGTGGATATCATTAGTATGCTGACCAAAGAAAAAGTAGTGAAAAAAGAGAAAGTGAAGAATCATCTTGTCTGACATGCAGGTAAGGAAGAGAGGGACCGAGGAGACAAATGGTTGTAGATTGAATTTTGTCTGATAATAAGAAACAGGACTATGTATTGTAAGCCACTACACATAAAAAAGCAGTTCAGTAAAACCCACTAAACTAGACATTACTTAACCAGAAATTTTAATAAACTGGACACTATCTGGCCTGTCCATACTATTTTGGGATTTTTTTTCCTCTCTCTTTTGCTCTCTCCTCCCCAAATTAGTCTGGTCTACTTGTCCATTATATTGACACAACATGATCTGTTTGGATTCTATATGCAAAAAATCAGAAAATGCAGGAATATTACTGACTAGAACTGATGTATTATAAGAGGCTGATAAATGAAGCACTGTCTTTAGTCTAGTAAGTTAACATTATGACAACATGCTTCCTGGTGAATTGCAGGAAGCAGAGTTACTATTCCATTAAATACATTGTAAACACATTAATAAAATACAAACATGCAAAATAATGCTCAGCCATAATATGACCCGACAGTAGCTAGAGTACCTTGGGTATAAAATTAAGGTAAGGTAAAATATATTTTAGAAAAGATTCTTTAATTTCAGTTTTATATGACTCAAGAGAATTTGCTGTGCCATACCATTACAATAAACATTTAATTAAAAATTTTGCTACAGTTTAAGTATCCCTGTTGAGGGTTTATTCTGACCTTCAAAATGGAGAAGGTGAGGCCCTGCTTGTCACGGTGAACCTCAATGTGTTTGGCTAGTGGGTGTGTCATCTTGGGTTTGTTACTGAGCTCATCAAGTGAACTCTGCACCTTGTACCGAGCAGCCTCCAAGTATGCCAACATTGCCTTCATCTGCAGAAGACACTTTCAAATAAAATATACAACACAAAACACAGACATAATAGAAATATAGCAGACTGATGAACAATATTTCATAAAGAGGATTCACATCTACTCTTGGGGGACATAGGATGCATAGAACTAAAAATGTGAGTAAAGCACTGAAAGAAAAGAATAAAACTGGCCATATTTGCATACGGAGTAACAATAATAATAATAAAAAAGATACAAATACAAGAACCTGGAGAAAAGGTAAGATATACATTCATGTCATGCACACTGCAGCATCTAAAATTCTACCATTTAATTAGTGACAAACATAGCCTATGAAACATGGAACTCACATGTTGTAGTCTGTTGTAGGCATCCTGTTGAGACCAGAAAGTGTAAGGGAGCTTTTGAAATTTAATGCAGAACAGAATTTGCCAACAGAAAAATACTGATCATATCTACATATAGAGACATTACCAAACAACATGCGTGGAGAATCTTTAACAATTGTACAATCTAGAACATTTTCAAACTTCCACAAATTTCTTATAACTTATTCCGATTATTACTCAATCATGAAAAACATTTATTTTCCATAACTTCATCTAAAATTTAAAAACTTGCTAAATCTTGCAATGACAAGACACTCAAACAGATATAGAGGAATTACTCTCACCAAACTTCAGTCATTAAAGACCTGTAATATGGCGAGATAACTTGTTCTCATTACAACAGTCTTGAAAGTTTTTAAATTTTTGGAGAAATTTATTATTATCTGTACATTATACAAGTTTAAAATAAAGTTACACCTTTTATATAAATACTGTAACAAGAAATGAAAAATGTATCTTACATGTTGAAGCTTATCATTCACATCCTGTTGAGATTCTTCCCCACCAAAGGTAGGAGTTTCTTGTAGAGCCTTGGCCAAGTTTTCCACTCCTTGCTTTCCTCTCCTCTCGCGCTCTAAGTCTGTTTTTAGCATCTGAATAAACTTTTCTAGTGCCTAAATGGAGAAACAATAGAACTGTAATTGGCATAATCTTTTTACTAAGGGATGTTCACTTAATCATCCATATCTTAACTCCGAAGTATAATCAAGAAGAGTACATAAAATATAAAACTTCAGTACTATAATTTATGCTACCCAAAAAAAATCATTTAAGTGCATCATATTCACAAAAACGTTTGACTACAAATTATAAAGATGCTTTATTAAATACTTCCACCTATTTACCTGCAAACACTCTAGTTACCAGACATCACCTTTTCACTGTCCAAGGCTTACAGATATACAAAAACAACTACAGTATACGTATAGCTAAAATACCTGTACAGTACCTACCTCTCTTCTCCTTTCTCTGTTCATTATGTTGTTCATATCTTCAGCATAGAAATCTGGTAACATCTGTTCTGGAACATTTTCTCCTGTTCCTTTGGCTGAGATCACTGTTTGTATATCCTTTTCTACATCACAAGCAGATACTGGTTCATCCAGACGTCCAGCAGTCTGCCATTCCAACAGTCAAACAGTCAATACCACAGTGAAAATACATGATCCTACTTACAGAATTAATTTTAATACTATATGTGCCAAGGTAATTATCCAGTACAACAGAAATGGAAGTGCATGAATCTATACAGAGTGGAATACAGGTAATGTAGTTGATTATTGTAAAAAGAGTACTGTATTGTACCATATAGAACAGAAAAACCACACAAATCAAAATATATACTGGTATGATGAAGTAAATATTTTGAAGTAGTGTAATAATAATTATGAATAAGAGTATGGAGAGTGAAATTATGAAAAGAACAATACATGGGAGAGGGTGTTACCAGAACAGTAAGTTGTGAAGTGTGAGAGGTGTTTTAAATGGTATAAAAGGTAGAGGGTGTAAATTGTAGAGTGGTGGAATGGGTGAAGAAAGGTTTGTCAGGATTGTATGAACACACGAGAAGGGTGCAGATGGATAGAATACAGTAGTAATGTAGCAGGAGTGCTGGGAAGAGGGAGATCACCTACATTGTGAGGGGAGAGGGTGGAATGATATATTACAAAGAACATGACTGGATAATGGGAATAGAGATGGCAAACAATTCTACACTCACATTTTCCTAAGATAATTGACACTCATATTACAGGGGATTCAGTCTTTCAAAGCACTTCACAGTACAGTACACAGGATACATCCACAACTGGATGATATCAGCACCAATACAGTATTGACATCATAATTAATGCCTGCGAGGATTAGGAACATCTGGTCCCTCCTTCATCTTTCATGATACTGTAACAGTAGATCTTTAGCAAATAAATCTTGAGCAAACAATTTCATCATCCCAGAGAACTGCTTAATAGTGTGCTTTATCAGCAAACCAGAGATATTAAGAGGAAAAGAGTTGTGGGAAAATACTTACAGCAACCATTTTTGGAGCAGCCTCCTTGGCATTCTTATGGTACTTAACAACAAGGTCCTTGAGTGCCTGTAAGCGCTCTTCCTCCAATGTTTGGAAGCAATTGCTGCCCTTGTAAACAGCAGACTCCCACTCAAGTCTAATGGAAAGGAATGGCATGACAGACTGACAACACACATTTAAAACTTTCAAATATATACAGTATACCAAATACAAATTATCATGAGAAGGCAAAAACAATCATATTGGATTATAATACACTTATTGACTTCAGAAGCATGAGGCAGCAGGTTTTAATTCAGTTAATAATCAAAATACAAATAATGTAATGCAAATACACTACAGTACTGTAATATCACACTGTACTCCCATTAATCGAGATATTTTACACATACAGTCAGTAAATTTTGTCTCAGTGAGTCCAGCCTCCTTTTCAATGCTAAAAATTAAGTGGCATTCTGTACTGTATATAAAATCGTTTTCGAACTTATAATATTATAACACTATAAAAGTATATACAGTATGTAGTTTTATGACATGTATATAAATAGAATATTTATCTTACTAGAAGTTAATACAGTACATCATAACATAGGTCATGTGTTCTGCATATATTCTCACAAGCAATATTCTCTCATAAATAAAGTGAACATTTACAATAATAAAATTTTGTAAAATGCATACAGTACTTTCAAGAACTCTAAAAAAATTAATCAAAACTGATAACTCCTCCAATGAGTGTTTATATGCTAGACATTTCAATAGCTTAACTTGCTGTAAGGACTGAGTCTGGATGGAGGACCAGTAACAATTACCTCGCTCTTTCTGCACGAATGCAACATGTGTAATATTCCAGATCACTCTTCTGTACTGCTTCCTCTGCCTTTCTTCTTTGTTTTTCCATCTGAAACAATTCAGATATTTTTCACATTAGAATTACCAGAAAACTTCGTATTGTGTATTCTCAAATATAACAAAAATACAACAGACGTTTCTTGGCATAATTAAAGTACAGTACTGTACCCAGTATGTCCAAAACTTTAAGTCAAGCTTGTCATATGACTTAGTTATGTATAGTATAAAGATTTAAACAACACTAAAGTTAAGGACAAAACTTATCTAATATTAAAGGCTACAGTAAAAGAAAAGTATCTCCTCTCTCGATGAACAAATCCACTATGAAGTACTGAACATCTGACCTTCAGTGTCTCCTTGTCAGAGAGTGTTTTTCCTCTCCCCAGTCTTGCTTCCAGCATCATGTCTTGAATCTTCTCATTATCTCTACAGTTACTATAACATTGTTTTTTGGCCTTGCTCTCTGCTGCTCGCCAGTCATGAAGATTTTTCGTGGTTTTGTCCACCATACTCTCCACACCCTTTCTAATCTTGTGTTGAGTTTCAATCAACTGTCGGAGTGGTCGCACTACATCATCTGCAATTGCAGATGCAATTGATCTGCAGAGAAGAAACGTGGCATTACAGAAATGGACACACTATTTGTATGACAAATTGAATATCAATACTGAACCTGTAAACTGTACTGGGAGTAATTCTTCCTTGCCATCACACAATAAGAAACCCTGGAAATTTTATGTTATTTTCATAACCTGTATCATATTTCTACTACTGTATTACTCTTATGTTCTTTAATAACCTTATTACTACAGAATTGTAGAACTAGCAGTAAATATCATTCAAGTACTGCACTGTATAAGAAATACTGGAGATTCATTCATCTTGAATACTGTACACTCACTTGTGCATATCTCCTTCCTGCTCTAGTTCGGCACCCACCATCTGCCAGGCCTGGTTGACTGTGCCCATACTCTCCTTGGATGCTTTCAGTAGCTTCCCTGACAGCTTGTGGAGGCCCTTGGCGTAGTTCGCCTCCAACTCCGCTCTGAGTGTGGAAAAATACAACTGCATTAGTCCTCAACAATACAAGAGATACTTAAAAAACCGCACCTTGATATATATATACTGTATATATAATCACTCGAGACAAAGCTGTGATTAACCGCGTGACTCGTCAGGTGGAAGCGTGTTGGGAGGTAAACAACCTACCTGCCAGCTTTCCCCGGTGACACTTGCTGATCCCCCAACCTCTCTGACCTCCTGATCCCTCTTCCGGGTCAAGGGGCGTGGCCTAAACGTCACATGTGCGTATCTTGGCCGTGTACCAGTAGCACTTAGAGATGTAACTCACTGTTATCACTACAGTATTTAACATCTTTAGGTCTTAGTGATGCTGTTCACCTCCTACACAAGAGCTCCAATTCTCACCAAGTACAATGATCTGGTTCAAACTTCTTCCAGTGGTATTTAAAAGAGTTATGTCATTTGCGGCCAACAAGCAGCAATTACACAGTAGCTGACTACAAGTCATTAACCTAAGGTACTGTACTGCCCGGGTCTTCACCACCAGCCAATCGTCTTTATTAATTCCGCTTCGGTCTCAATAAAATAAATACAGTACTGGGAAGTATATCATATACAAATAATTTATTTTTCGGCAAGGAGTCAGTATAGCTGTAATATTTATCAAACACAAAGACGCTCCCTTTACCGAGTGGCATATGATCTATACTCTCCTCAAAGTCTGGAAAATTTCCATCGGAGGGAGGGAGGGAAGGGATGGGGAGGTTACTATGGTGGCCCAGAGACTAGAAGAGTTAGTTGGCCAGGCTCACCCCGCTCCTAAACCCTCGCCTACACCCCACACCTCCACTTACACCCTATACGGTACACTCCCAGGCCTGCAGATAATGTTAATTATCAGCTGGATTTACTGTACATGTGAGGGGAACGATGGTGAGGAGAGCAGGAACGATGACAATACCGTAAATAAAACCCACTTGAAACAGGATAGTATGACTAGCTCGAGTTCTGCCCACGTGAACAACCTCCAGTGAATGTGGCCAACGACAGTGTGATGGTGGTGGAATTCAAGTGATAAGATGTATGATGACAAGCGAAAGGATTATTTTGATTCGTCAATTTGAGGAGGCCATTGAGCTCGTCAACAGCCAACCAGGAAACCGCAAATACAGCGTCGCCCAGTAGTGGAATATTGCCCCTGAGCCGTGACGCAGCAACCAAAGATAAGAACACCAAATAAAAGAATACATCAACAAAAGCGGGAAGTGAAGAGGAGTTTAAAGATACGGAAACAAGATTAAATAAAGAATTTAAAAAGACTGAAAAGTATTACAATCTGGATAAGACAAGAAGACGAAATTATCTCAAAACCTGGGTCTATGATAAGAGAATGGCGTCACTGCCAGGATACGAGACGAAACAGGAAAAAGCATGTCAAAGATAAAGAAAAACTGGAAAGAAAAAAACAGATCAGAAAAAGTTTAACGAAAAAACTAATTCGGGAACGAAAAAGAGTGATAAAAAGAAAATACTTCTGAAAAATACATAACTTGGGGCTGAAGAAATACGAGATATAAAAAGACATAAATATAAAACAGGTGAAGGAAATATTAATGAAAGTACAATACCACAATACACAAGCTTAATTGAGGTACAAATAAGAGGGAAGTGAAGTCAAGGAGCCACTGGACACGATGTTGAAATAGCGTCCAAACACTCAGGAGATCTGCCGCGGTGGGAACTTACATTATTTCACGGATTTATTTGTAACACACCAATCCTCATGGTTAGGTTAGGTTAGTGTTATAGTGTTATTACTGCGCTTCAACAATGAGGGTCTTTAAGGGTGTAACCAGGTTCGTAATACACTAGTCCTAATAACTGTGAAAAAAAAAACAGTAGCGAGGATTTACTTCACAGAAAACAGTGGTGATGGTGGTGGTAGGAGGGGGAAGTTACAGGTGGAGTCACTCGTCCTGCCAGCCGACCCCGAGGACGCCCACCACCACTCCTTCAAGGTTGACACACACACACACACACTCACCCGGGTAACTGGTGCACAAATGTTATCATATTTCACCCCTAACACACACTTATCGTATCATTAATATTCATTATCAAAGGACCTACTGTCATTATTGTTACCGCGATCAAGATGAGTATTAGCTACTGTATTGCGATAACTACTTTCACAATAAAAATTATGAATATTAATAGCATAATCATTATTTTCTTGTTATTAAGTTAATCCTATCACTATCAATGTTTTGTTTTTTCAAGTCTTCACCTCGAATATGCGGCAGTGGGTACAAAATAATTATGAGATGCCCATTAAGTCTTCACTCATAAACAGAGTAGCGGGCAGTCGCTCACCAACTGATATCTAGGTGAGGAGGGCCAACATAAGGTGTGGGTGGCCAAATAAGGGCGTACTCCTCCTGCTGGTGGCTGGGGTGTACCGTGGTGGTGATAAACACAAGGCAGAAAGGCGGTAAGAGGCGTGCAGAAGGTGGAAGTGGTCGAGAGGGGCACTCAACAAGGACAACAATCTTTCCCTCTGTCACAAGGGCAAATATCTGGCGCTCGAGTGCTTACAGGTGCTCAGCAAAAACAAGGCCTCGCACTTGGGTAAATGGTGGGGGCGCCGTAGTCCAGGATCACATTGTCTTGTTGGGAGTGTCGCCCGCAGGTCATTGGCACCACCGCTGAGGATCATCCAGGGGGGGAATACCACCACTAATAATAATATCACTCGGCCGACACAGTTGTCACTAGTGTCGAAGGCGTGATATGATGACATGCAGAAAATATCCGCCCGTTCGTGTGTGTCTTTGTCCGTGCACCTTGTAAACGTGATAACTCAAATATAAATGGATTCTTACAGTGCTGGGTCAGTGACGGGGGACCTGAATCCTCTGGTCAACTTGTTCAGTGTGGCTGATAGTTGAGGCATCAATTCAAGGTTTTTTTTCCGCCCAGGAGAATGAAGAACTTAACTAATCCACTAATTTTAGATACTAAATTACTAAGGCGGCCAATATGGTGTCGACATTATATACGGTAACTAAAAGCTTACTCTGATACCAATTTATGAGAGAAATTTAAGGAAGTGATGTTTAAGGAAGAGGCGGGGAGGGGAGACGGGCCACACACAGTGAGTGTTGTTCTCCACAGTGTTGTTGTTGTTGTGTGAGGGAGGGAGGGAGGGAGGGACAGCGGGATACTGTTGCTACGATTACTACCCATGTTTACTCAGTTCATTTCCTTTCTTTTCTGACGTAACTGATGGAAGTTTTCAGTATGTGTTCACCTTGCCAAAGAACAACTTGGCACATCTCCATTATTTTCTCTCGTCTTTTATACACAATTAAGCACAGTTTGTTAATATGGCAGAAATCAAAACAACACTTAAGACTAGACTACAGTTTGTTTTGCCCTTTATATACCTGTTAGTGTTAAAATCATCATACTAATCATTTGATGTTAGTTAGCATGACACACCAGGGAATGACAGCAGTGGTCCTCTTACTACTGAGTCACCCCACAGCTGTTCCTTGTGGGTTCAATGACTACATCTATGTATAACAAACAAAACACACAAGCTCCATAGAGACAAATAAACACGTATAAAAAACTTATTAATAACGGAGAGGAAATTGTCGTTTATAGGAAGTTCTTGAGTGATGCTGGATCCGTCATCACCAGGTGGTAGCCAAGGTGAGTCACTACGTCACACATACCCCCCCCTCCCCCCACCTTCCAGTATCCATGAGATCTTGTCTATTTTTACTAATCATTAATAAAAAAATACAGCATTTTATATTCTCTCTCTTGCTCTCTAAGTCTGTCTCTGTCTGTCAGTCTGCCTCACTTAAAGTTATTTCTGGACAACACTTTAGCCGGGTTACAGACGTGGGTCAACAGTCACTCACACAAACCAGGATGGAGAGACGAAAAAGAAGGGGGGAGGATGGAAGAGGAACTACGCCATTGTGAGGAGGTAGGTGAGGTAGTGGCTGGAGGAGAGATAGAGAGAAAAAAAATACTGAAGGAGACAAGGGAGGCGATAATAAAGAGATAATAGTTACCATGAGAAGTTATACTGAGATAAGAGACAATAACGTGAAGGAGAAGGTAAAGAGGAATATTGAGAGAGATAATGATGATGAAGGTAGTAAGAGAGGTGATAAAGATAAGAAAGACAAAGAGAGGTGAGAGAAGAATACTGAGGGAGGTGAAGAAGGTGACAGGAGGAAGAAGAAAAACCCCTCCCTCCTCCTCCCTCCCTCTAATGAATATTCAGGTGGTGAGTAACAGCAGACAGTCACCTCACCTGGCCATCCACACCTGTGACACGCCAAGGGAGGACCCCAAGATAGTGTATAATGATAAACAAGATGGATCCCAAGAACTGTGAAGAGGAGAGGCATGATAAATGGTGGGATAGGAGGAGGAGGAGAAAGGATAAAAAGACCATAAGAAAATAAATAAAAATAAAGAATAGGTTGAGAAAGTAAAGGTGAGACAATAAGTAGGGGAGGACTACAGGCAGGTGTGTGTGGAGTGAGAGATGCGATAAAGGAGAGAAGTAAACGGGGGGAGAAAATGCAGTGAGGGGGATAGGGAAGAAACGTGAAAGGAGAGGGAAGAAGAGTGAGAGGAAAAGGAAGAAAGTGAGAGATGGAAGGGAAGACCATCTGCCCTTTTTATCATGCAATGCGATTTCAATTCTCATGACCTCTCCATTTTCTCCTCACATTCTAACTTTTATTCAACGTCTTCTTCTTATTCCTCCTCACTCGACTCGCCCATGTTGTGCTCAAAGCCGCCGTGTCCTTTTAACATAAGATCACAGGTGATATCTTGATGGAGGGAGGGAGGGAGGGAGGGAGGGAGGGAGGGAGGGACTGGTTGGACAGGATTATTTGGATTTAGAGTGAGGTGAGGCCAGGGACTACCTCCTCCCACACACACACACACACAATGACTTATGTTACTTGTATATTATTTGTAATTCGAAAC